AACAAAACTTTCTGCCATACATTGTGTGTACTTTTGAAAATTCTAACGACTGAAACTGATATTGCAATACGATGAATTGTGCGTTACAAACAGTTGATTTCTTTCTTCATTTCTCGCTTCATCTTTAACATTTAAATTTCTTGCAGTGAAACATCCTGCCATGCATTCTGTATGCTTTTGGAAACTTAAAGGACTGAAGCTGGTGTCTTTCCTATATCTGGCTTCAGACACATTATGTATATTGTAGACTCTATGCTTAGTGTAATAAAAGACAAATGTAGTTTTATTTTAAGTTCTACATTAATTTGCAAGTAAAATAAGGTTTGTATGTGTTATTTACAAATAATTTACACAATTTATTATATTACAATACCAGATTCAGTCCCTTAAGTTTTCAAAAGCACACATAACGCATGGCAGAAAGTCTTGTTGTAACAAATTTAAATGTTCAACATGAAATGAGAAATAAAGAAAGAGATTAGAGCTGTCGGAAAGACCGAATATTTAAGCGGCTTTTAAGCCGAGTCAAACTGGGACCCGATTTCCAAGCCGAGTCGAGTACTTGAAAAAACCGAGTAGCTTGAAAGATTCAAGCTACCCGAAGAAACCAAGTACCTTGAATTTTTCAAGCTACCCGAATAAAACCGAGCGGTCCGAAAAAATCAAGCGACCCGAAAGAACCGGGCAACTCGAATGATTTCAAGCTTTTCCGAGTACACATGTTAGTCCGCCGCCAGGCAACAATGGTATCATAAAAAGGACGTAGCAAACTAGACTCAAAGGAGGTCGACCATCATTTTCCGTATTTCTTATCAGATCTTAACGGATGTATTACCAATCGATTCCTTATGTTATCCCGATGAGAATGGTACCAGACAGGATACAATTCGGATTATTTAGAAGGAAATTATATGGAAACAATGATTTGCACGCTTTTTGTCTATCTTTGTTAAAAATAGTCCGATTTACATAGTGTTTAGCAGCGTTTTCATCAGGAAAACGTAAGGAATCCATCGGCGTTAATCCCGTAATAATACGATGCATATGAAGTGAAATCGAGTGATCACTGAAAGCCATAAACCAAGGGTTGAACCATCCAAAGCGCACGTGTGCCGACTTTAACTCACGACGGACCTCAAAGGGTCCGAGCATTAAAGTGTAAAATGTTTGTCATGATATGTTCACTTTTTGTTGTGTTTTATAAAAGTTAAAGAAATAAATTGCACTACTGAATTCCTGATGTTATACTGATGAAAATGGTACCAAACACGATATAATATCGATTAATTTTAATTATTCGTGTAATGTAAATTCTACAGACCACGCTGTTACACAGTAGAAAAATCTTTTTCCAATTCTACGCTTGTCTTGTTAATAATTAAAATTAACCGATATTATATCGTGTTTGGATAATGGATCGTAACACGGATCCATTAATTACCCGTGTACGTGGGTATTTCGATACACGTGAAGTAGGAATCTCTACTGATAGCATATCACGAGCAGTATGTATAGCTGTACTACTATAAGCGTCGCTAGTTTGAAAGGGTTCAACTAAGGAAAGGAATCTGACAACATAGATGTGGCAGTCGGCGTTCATTGATATTTTGTGGTTTCTTTTAAGAATTACACAGGTCTGCGAAATTGTATCAAGACTTTTTATTCAAAAAAGTATAGAAGATTTTTATTTTAAATTTTACACACACTTTCTATTATTATCTTTTCTATACATATATAAGAATGAAACCCTTGCTGATTACAATCAACGCCTAGGCTAAACCCTTAAACATAGAAAGCTTTCCTTTATGATGTGTACAAGGAATAAGAAAGCCCTAAAGGGGTAAAAAAGGGTTGCGATATTAGTATTCCACGCGGGTGAAACCGCGAGGCACAGCTACTTTTAGTATAATGTACCAATTTGTATAGAAAGATTTTCTGGCTCCTTTTAAGAAATGCACTAATCTGCGAAATTCCCTCAAAATTTAAGGATGAAATTGTTTCTAAAAAAGTTAACACACTTTTGTTACAATTTTAGTATGATATACCAATTTTGATGGATAGATTCTCCGAAGACTATAAATGTTAGTAGTATAAATGTTGTAGATTGAAATAATAAATTCTGTAGCAATACCACGCTCAAGACTATAACTTTAGCGAATCCAGTGATTTCCTTCTCAAAATTTGAAACAAAATTCTTGAAATCTGCATTTTTCAAGAAATGGACGAAAAGAAATCAGTTCGTAAAAGAGATTGACAATGTCGTGCGCCCTTAAAATGATTTCGTTGGGCAAGAGAGTCGACGTGAGATGATTCGGTCAATTTTATTGTACGCATGCATATTACTTAATTTAATTACGAGGAAATTGTATTTCACACTATTACGTGTCATAAGTCGGAGATGGATATAGGCGTTCATCCGTGTTCGACTTATTATACGTAATACACATGCTTAATGACGTTAGTGTTCGTCAAAGGTCGGGAGGTAGCAGGATCAAATATCAGTGCACTCCCCACGGCAACTCGAAACCTCTATGAATTATACGATCATACATAGCATAGCTTTGAAGTTACATGGTTCGAGTAAACCGACGTTTAATTAATAAATCTCGAGTTCTATTATCGCAAGACCAACAAAATTCTGGTAAAGCGAAGTTCTGGTTTCAATGAATGAAAAATCTCTTTTTGTCTGATAGTCACCGCTTTCTTATTTATTTAAATAATTCTAATACAAATGACATCCATATACAGTCGAATTAAAAATCATTTCCTTAATGAGTGATTTCGATATCTGTTGCTTATTTCTTTTTAAGCCTACGATTCAATGTCCCCAAAAATTAGTATACCTTTCACTTTTGTTCAATGTTAAGTATACGTATATATACTTTAATCATGACGCTAAAATTAAATTTCACGTAATAATTTATTTCCTGAACTAAAGGTGACCCAATTCATCACTCGATAAAACAAAACTCTGTTTTACGACCATACTCTTTCTTTTCTAGGTCAAATAATAGATCCTTTTTTATATTCTTGTTACTTAAATTAAGATCTCTAAAATATTTATACCAAATTATTTTTATGTACATAAGATACTTAAAGATGTTTTAAAAAGTATTATTTTTTCGCATCACTAAAAGTACACTAGCCGTCAAAAAAAACGGGACACTATTTTAAAACATCATAACTCCGAGAGTTTTCAACCGATCTTCGGGAAACTTCGTGAGGTTTAGTTTTGAAGTGTCCTCTGGGCGTGTGCAAAGTTGCAATGACGAGGATTGATGAGAAAGGGTTAATTCACCCCCCTAAAGGAGTAATGCAGAAAAACGACACTTCAGAAGGGTCCAGGGACGACGGAAGGTGGTGAAAAAATAAAAAAAACCTTTGGGGCGACTCTGTTTGATGCCCCCTACAAAATGCACCCCTTGAAATCGCTCTCGGACAAACCCACCCCCCTAAAATCCACAATTTTTGGACGGCCCATTTACTACTCTTTCAAAGTTGCGCCGATTTGACAACGAAAGCGGGGTTAAAAAAATCTGATTTTTTGGGGATCTGTTAATAAAGCATTCGCGTGTCTGAATCCGCGAACGGAGGGTTACTCGTTCACTCTGCAGATGGGCCTGAAGTTGGAAGCGAGTTTTTAAAAATATCGACATTTTCGAATTTTATTTCCATTCACGCGGGAAAAAGATATGAAAACTGTGTCGCACCGATGCCCTGGACTGTTGGACATGTGATCCACGCAACGAAACAACGTTCCAACCCATACACTGGGGGGTGGACCACCGCTACCTCTGCCCCCCTCCCTTCAGCTCTGGGGGCAGTTTTCGAAACGGGACCTTTTCGGCATTCATCCTTAACGTATCGAGAACAAACAGGGTGAATTTCATCGCCCTCCGATGTGTGGAAGTGCTCCATTACGAAGGGGGTTGAAAATTTGCGAGCTGCCCCCCCCCTCCCAAAGGGTGCCTATGGGGTGCACGGTATGAGCGATAGCATTTTCTGGATCAGGGGAGTCCAGAGAATGCATTGAGTCCAAAATCGAGACTGTCGTCCAAAAATTGTGGATTTTAGAGGGGGTGAGGTGTTGTGAGGGGTGGGTTTGTCCGAGAGCGATTTCAAGGAGTGCATTTTGTAGGGGGCATCAAACAGAGTCGCCCCAAAGGTTTTTTTGATTTTTTCACCACCTTCCGTCGTCCCTGGACCCTTCTGAAGTGCCGTTTTTCTGCATTACCCCTTTAGGGGGGTGAATTAACCCTTTCTCATCAACCCTCGTCAATGCAACTTTGCACACACCCAAAGGACACTTCAAAACTAAACCCACGAAGTTTCCTGAAGATCGGTTGAAAACTCTCGGAGTTATGACGTTTTAAAATAGTGTCCCGTTTTTTTTTACGGCTAGTGTATTATATAAATTGTATGAAGAAATTGAAGATATAAGTTTAAAGTGCCGCCATTTTTCATGTTTTCTTTTATTACCTTTTTCCTAATTCACACTATAACCACGTTCATAACGATTAAAACAAAATCACTTTTCATTGGTTTAGCATCATTAGGACGGATTCACATATTTGTTGAATCGTTTCGTTTGAAATGACCTGGAATATTGTTTGTAACTTCGAAACAGATTAATCAGGACGACTGTAAATTCAATAGAATCTTGTTTATATGTGTACGAATAAACATCCCAAACTTCAAAAGAGTATACCAAGTACTTTGGCCTTTAAAAAAAAGTAGAGTATCCTCTTAATATTCTGGATCGGTTCCATTTAACATGACGTAAATTAATGTACGTAACTTCGAAAGAAATTGAGCAGCACAAGTGTAAATTTAACAAAATCTTATACATACATGTACAAATAAACGTTCCAAATTTCAAAAGTTTACGTCAAGTGCAAATAAAATCACAAAATTAGCCTAAAGAAAGAAATATTCCTTTAATGCCACTTTTTGTGGAGCTAGTAACGCGTCATATTGCGAACGTATTTCGATTGTTTCAGGTTGGCTGTACGATATCACGGGGACGTACGATTTGTCGTTTTACTTGGCCGGTTTGTTCATTGCGTTAAGCGGAGTGCTGCTGCTGGCGATGCCTTTAATTAATCTATACCGAAGATGCGTGAACGGATCGAAGAAAGAAGAGACCGATAATGATTTTTCAAACGTGAACAGCGTTTAAATTAGCCGAGGCTTGCCGATCCTTTCAAGGGAGGAAAAATGTCGCCGACACGCCCGATTGTGTATTATTCAACGGAATTTATGGAAATAATATTTCCACCCAAGGAATTGCAATTCACCGATGTATAATTAATTTTTCGAATTATCGCAACGGCACCCTTTTTCCTCGAGTCGCTCCGAAACAATTACGTGTTTTTACATTTAATTAAACGTTCCTGATTCCTTCTTAGAGTAGGAGAGTATGTACACGTGCGGGATAACAAAGGGATTCGACACGTGAAGTAACTGACCAACAAAAAAAACGCAATGTCTTTGTACATCCTTAATCTTATCGTTAAAGGGTATTTTTATTTCGAAATGTGAATCTTAAGATTTTCACAAAAATTGGTAAAAAGAAACAACTACTACCGTTTATAATGTAGACGCGAGTATCAGTTGTTAACAATGATATCAACCGCGATGAAAAATCTCATTGCAACCGACCCATGAAAAAAAACTTATGCTTGCGCGTAAATTCAGCAAAGTCACTACCATATCGTATTACGTTTAATCGATGGTCATACTATAACGTTAAACAAGACTTTTAACAAGAATCGGTTAATATTACCAAATTTTCAAACACAATACAGAGATTTGCGATTAGTTATTATTAGAATATAATGTACAAATTAAGACAACACGATGCTCGATGATAGCAATGGGTCGAACGATCTACGAATACATGGTGAACGACTTTCGTTTATATCTTCAATCATTAACAATTGAAAACAGTTTGAATCTCAGGATAATTGTGAACGATAAAAATGATAAGTCGATGAATGTTCAGCCAAAGTTTTTTCTTTCCACATAGAATAAATTATGTTGTTTTGTATCATTCTTCGATATACTTTTTCTTTTCTTCTTTTTAATTAAAAATGTTCCTTTCAGCGTGAATTTATTCACTCGGTTATGCGTACATCTGACAGGTTATTTGAAAATAACGCCAAAGATATTACTATAATTATGTGTTATGTGAGATATTTGTTGAGGTACAACTTCAATTATGGATTCGTAATTGAATACTTTCAGCCTTCTAATAATTTTACTATTAATTAAATCTAAACAACGAGAGTGCGCATTGTCGTCTTTGTATTAGTTAAAACGAGCGTTTTTGTATTAGTTTTGGGTCAAACAAAGACAAAAAGTGAGATTAATCGAATAACGAGCCAACCGTGCTCGATTAGCTGTTTCAATATAGTTTTCCCCCTATTCTCTTATAATTAATGCGCGTTCGTGCATGCAACGTTTTACAAAACATGTATGTAAATAGGCGTATGTGTATATATAATATAGCTTTTCTGTGATGATGAACCTGGATTTTACGAACTATTCTAGCTACAAATAGATTAACATCTCCGTTTACATAGCGCGTGCGTACGTGCGTGTACGTTTATTGTAACAGACACATCTTTAGTTTATTTGCACCCGCTATTATGTTCGTCGTAAGTGGCACGGAGCAATATAATATAATATACTAACATACAGTATCATTGTAATTGACATTCTTCCTCGATCGTCGCATTTTATCTATTAAAACAGTGATGTTCACAACATTATAAAAAGAGAACGAATCTTTTTAGCGTTACTTTAGTGGTTAAACAGACAGTAATAATTAAATAAATCGAATTTGAAATTTATAAAGAAATAGAACGAAATAATTGAAAATTTTCTCGAGAAATACTATTTTCTAATAATGTTCGCGCATTTAAAGATTTGCTTTCAAGATTTTCAGCTAGGATACGAATATAACTTCACGAGGCCTTTTTACAAGAAAAATTTTAAAATAGTTTCTTCTAGAAACGGGAAATTCCATTGTTCGTAAGGAATAACCTATACATATACGAATTGCCGTTTATCTCGTATTTCGATATATACAGTTATTGGCACTTTTTTGCCATTCTGTAATTTGTTCTTTCATCGTGGCGCGCTAAATTCTTCTACGGTGCGTCTGCCCGCGTTATGGTAACATGATTTTGTGAGATTCGCGACCTTATAGGTGTCTACGAAACGTACGCAATATTTTATTATGGAAATAAAAACAAAATAAAAAAACTGCATTTCAAAATATACGAAATGAAGCCGATCGACCGAGGTGGTAGATGGACTTTCGCCAGTAGCACAAGTAATTGTTAAGGTGAGCAAGCGAACTTATGTTTAACATACACAGCCTTGTCTATTTCTTTTCGTACATTAGTTAAAACACCTGAAAAGGCGTGTCTCTAAGTAAGTGAAGTTTTTCAGATTTTAACTATTGCTTATAATTTAATAAATTACCAAGACTAAGTATTAAATTCCTCTCTTGAAGACTCCTCTCATTGGCTGTTACTCAATCATTAGAATGTTCTCATTATCTCTTTATTAATAAGATATCCTATTACCCATTGTCGATAACCTCGAAACAATCGCTTGAACGTTTAAAAGTGGCTTAAAGTCTACGCGGAGACAAGAAACAAAGACAAAGATGAAAATTCAGTTCACGGTAAGATAAAAATACGTTAGGATTTTTTCACACTGTATAAAACAGGGAGATCTGGACAGAACCGTTCTTTTAGATTTTACATATTTACAACTAAGAAAGTATACTACAATTGTTGCTTGCAATGTGGTCCAAAAATGAGCGATCCTTGTTATCGTTCGTTATCTGGACTCTCGTGAGCAGTTTTCGCAACGATATATTATATATCATAATATAATAAAATTATGTAAATTATATATATATATATATATGATATAAAACTTCGAAAAAAAACAAATTTACATAATTTTATTATTATCAATTACTATACTTATGATTTATATCCATTTAGTCATTCAAATATCTTGAAATGATTAGTATTAAGAAAAATAATTCGTTTATTTCTTATTCGCATATACATGAATGCGACTGCAATAAGAACGTTAACGATAATAATAACTAAATTGGTTGTATGTAAACAAAATTAATTTAGTGCGCACGATTGTCCAGCTGAAAGAACGATTTTGATACAGTTACAGACAAGTTGTTCCATTGTAAATGGAACACGGAAACTTACGTTAAGACTCCTTTTTAGACTTTAGAACGACCGTTTTTTGAATTGTATACATGTGTACATATGTACACGGCTACACGTACACAAGCACACATACATACATACACATTCACGTATAAACGTATACTATTCATACCTACAGAAGTATAAAAGTCTTATTTCAACAAAAATAAAGATTAAACTATAACTGTGGGTTATTTCTTTTTTTTCCAGATCCTACCGCAGTTCTGACGCAAATTTGTAACAATTTTGGGTAATATTGATAAGAATGAATGGATAAGTTATATTAAAAAGAAAAAAATTAGAAAAAAATTTCCTGTTTATAGTTTGTTTATCACTCAAGTTTACAGATTGCAGGTGCTGAAAAATCATTTTCATTTTATTCATCTTCTGGTTTGCAGGTGAAACGGTTAGTAGTGTTTATCAGCAGTAGATTAAGTAAGATTTTGATCTCCTTAAATTTTGTACCAATTCTTAATAAAATATTATTTGAAAAGTCATGGTTAGTATATACAGCTTAAGAAGCAACGTTATATAATTCGATTGTTTATGGGATTGTTATAGTATTCATGAAAATTTAGCATAAGTAAACAATTCAAATATATTAGATATAGACGTGAAACCATTATAAAGAATATCATATTCACTTTAGACGTTTACATTTTGAAATTACTCGCAATGTTTATTTAAACAGATTTACGATAGATTTTTAACACCTTACCGATCGATAGCTTATTACCGGCTTTGCCATGCCAAGTTTATCTGTTATTGATAGTATTGCATCGTATGCTCCCATTATTATATGAATTAAGAAAACGATACTGATAAATAAAATAAATATATATAATCGTATAATACTAATGTTATCAAAATGAAAATTCCTATGAAATTTAATTATATTTCAAAATGCTATCACTCGATATAAAGTGTTAAGATAGATTTGCATTTACATATAAACAAACAACAGTTACATGTGTCTAATCGATCTCTGCATACCGAGTGCCTTTGTTGTAACATGTACGAAAAACAACATTTTGACAACATTATAATGTTACTATAATGATACTATAGTATCTTACAATATTGATTTTATCTATTAAAATCGTTTGCGATTAATATTTACATAATTTTAATAATTCGTAGAATGACGGGCTGACCATACAATACTATCTCAGGAATAAATGACAAAATATTGGTTGAAGTGACAAAAATGACGATAAGCTACTAGTTGGTAAAATATTGAGTCCTTTTAAATAAACATTGCGAACATTTTCAAAACGTAAACATTTAAAGAGAATACGACAGTCTTTTTAATGGTTGATAACATAGTGCTACATACTAGGAAATTTTATAAGTTATTAGCAGTTGGAGGTTTAATTTAATAAACGGATCGAGCCACTGTGTGTAAACGATCGAAGAAATGACTTGCGCCCTCTTTTCAGTCGCAGGTGTACTCGGTGAGGCTTTCCATTGTAACGTGAGCGGCACGGCAGCGCCTAACGCTTCTCTATTTCAGTACACGGGGCGCGTTCAATCGAAGTGGTTGTGCACAAGCAATAAAGGAAAAGCTCGCATTTTGTGACAACATTGACCGTCGACGGTAGCGGATATCGATCGAGGGGAACCGTACACGTCTGAGAGCCGACCGAAGGAATCCCGTTCCAGTAAATCTTTTAGTGAATTTAACGATTCTTCAAAGCCTATCTTTGTAGGCGACGAAAACACCGCGGAAGGGCTGGGAACATCCCTCGTGGGTAAGTTGACAGCTCGGCAATTTTCGTACACGGGCCGAGTCTCTGTTCGTTTGTTTTCATTAATTATTAGCATCGCAGCTAAAAAGTGTGAACGAATGGAAAACTTTTTTGTCGGCTTTAGAGTTTTATTATAAATTCCATTATATGGAATAGTATATGATAGTATATGTATAATATTATTTCGTTATATTATAGTACATACTATTTCTAACATACGTTTTCTCATTTTTGTGGAAAGGTAATATAATTATAACACATTGAAAGGGAGAAGGGCGTGAAAATGCTCATTCTTTTCATCAGTTTAAACAAAACTAGCAATGAGTAAATTTCCGAATATTTTGCAACAATTTACTACTTTATTACACCACTAAAAGTATCGTAATTTTAATTTTGAATATTCCATACACGTTTGAAATAATTCGATAAAAAATTCTTGTGAAAGGGGAAAGGTTTGAACCATGTACGCATGTGTGTGGTAACATTTTCCATTATATTTACTACAACGGCGTATACATACAAACAAGTACGTCGATAGTATGTAGTAAACCGAATGACTGCTTAAATCGACTACTATATAATAACTATAGTTATTAGAATTTTTGAAAGCAAAGATTTCAGAGCTACTGAAGCTATAATAATACCGTTTTTAACAGTTATCCATCAATGTTTCAGAAATGCCTTACGCGAGAAAATTTCGAAAATATTTGTCAGAAATATTTATTAAGACAAATCATTTTTAAATTACGACAAAACTCAGATAATTGTTTCGTATTTTAGAACATTTTTTTTTTATAGTAATAGAAAACACAACGAATGTGAAGAAGCCCGCAGCATAGGGTTAAAATACTTTATTAGTATAAGTATTTTAAATTAACTGATTTATTTGAAGTTCTCTTAAAATATGCGCGTGTTTACTTACAACATTTTTAAATATTCTTTCATTTATTCATAAAATCTAGATGAATATATAATATAAATATATATATAATATAAATTCTAAATATATAATATAAATATATAATATAATATAAATTCTGTTATTTTAGATAATAAGAACAAGAGTTATTTAGAAGTGTTGTAATATTTTAAGGAGAATATTATAATACGATGTAATTATTTTTTTATGGCTACTTTCTTATTTACATCATAAATAGAATGTCTATATTTTGAAGGAGAAAACGGTAGAGTAATACATTTTTATCATAATAGTATTCAAACATACCAATCCAAAGAATAATTGTTGCGAGGTATCCTAATGTTATAGTGTACACAAAAAATACACAATTTTCAAGGTTGTTTTACAAGCTATATTTTTCGTTATATTTTCTATATATTTGTACAAAATTTGTATTTGTAATTATTTATAGTGACCACCACTTCCGTCTCAAACAAGCTATTTTCTGTTTTATTTCTTCGTAACGTTAATTATGTTCAACCTTCGCATAGGTTTTCTTTTACCAAGAGGGGTTATCTAAAAATATTTTTGTTAACATTGTAGCGTTTTTTATATAAGTATATCGAAGAGGTCGAAAATATTTTTGAGCTAGATGTGTCTTAATATTGTTTTTATAATATTTATTATTCTATTGAATTTCATTATTTAATCGTAAAGTTATTACGAAATAATTTCACTTCTCAAAGCACAGAATAATCGATCGAAAAGTTCGATGGTATTATCTACAGCTCCGTGACGGTATGCATGATGTCTATCTGGATTGTACTGTAGAAGTCAGTGAAGTAGCCAGCAATCCTGGAGCCATCTGATAAAATTGATAGTGGAATTC